TTCGGTGCTTCGGAGTTCCGGGACCAGTACTGGAAAACTGGTTTCCAAGGTCGAGTTGAGGTGAGTTCTTGTGGTCGGAAACAGGGTTGTGAAATATTAATGATTTCTGTGTTTGTGGCATTTTCAGGTGTAGCAGTGATTGGAGCGTAAAGGGCGACACCTTACGGTCCCTGACAAAACCCCCCTGGGCTTGCTCGGCTAGATGGCGTGACGGGCAAGTCCACGGTCTGGGACCTGTCCGGTCGCCATGACGGTTTTCGTCAGTGCTTTGGAGTTTTTTGGCGGGAATGGTTGGGTTAAGTGTTTGTAGGCAGTATTCGAAGATGTGTTTGAAGTTCTTGCTGAAGATATTTCCTGATTTGTCTTGATTGTGTCGTGTTTTTTGAGCTGCGCAGCTGTGATGCTAGATTTGTAGGTTGGATATTTTTTCTGTTTAGATTGTGACCCTGTGTTGAGGGTACGAAATGTGGAGGGCGACCCTGTAATGGGGGTGCCGTAGTTGACTTCTTTATTGCGGTAATTTCGTATTTGAGCGGTAATTTCGTATTTCAGCGGTAATTTCGTATTCATATAATTTCGCGACCCTGTAATGGGGGTGCTTATATTGATTGAGACTTTGTGCGACCCTGTAATGGGGGTGCAGAGCTTGAAGTAGCGACCCTGTAATGGGGGTGCTTTTGTTGAAGTATATAGGAACAGCAGTAATTGACGATTTTGTGGCGCTGAGGCCGAATGGTGTTCAGCAGTAATTGAAGATGCTTTTAGGGCTCTGAGGCCGGTGATTGCTCTGTAGTAATTGTTGGACGTCTTTTTGATGTTCCTTTTCAGGTTGTCGTGTTGGAAAACTAAAAGAGAAAAAAGATAAGAGTGGAGATGAGCGGCGAACGTCGAGATTCAATCGATCGAGGTGCTGCTGAGATATATAAGTTTATTGACAGTATTGATGAGACATTCAATTTCCTTTTTGCAGAGATGGCCGAGTTGGAGGACGATGGGAGAAGCACGCCCGAGAGCGTTTTCAGCCTGCCGATTTCGCCGTTGGTGAGCAGGTTGGAGCCGATTCCTGGTCCTTCTACGCCGAAGTTGGCACGTCGTGTTGGTGCGGATGGGGTTGTCCAGTTTCCCGGGGCCGTCCGAGACTTGGCAGAGACATTCTCCAGGTTCGACGCGGATCGTTGGTCGCGCATCCACACGCTTGTTCCTGTCGTGGATACGCAGGCCTGTACGGATGCGGTTCGCATTGGTCTGGAACAATCCTTGAAGCTCCCATGAAGGATTCAAGATCCAAGTTGTCTACTGGTTCTAAATGGACTGCGCGTGTTAGTGGGCAGGTAAATACACAAATAGATATATTCTTTTCCATAGGTGTATGGAACGGTCCTACAAAATCGATGCCAACTGTTTTGAATGGTTGGTGTCCCGTGTAACGAAATTCTGGTAGAGGGGCTGTAGTTTGGGTGAATGATGGGTTGTTGAAGCGTTTACGCCAATTACATTCCTTGATGATGTTTCTTATTATGCGTTTGCCCCCTTGTAACCAGTACTCTTTAGTGATTTCCTGTTGTAGCAGCATTGTTGATCCATGTTTGTGTTTCAGGTGTTGGCTTCGTATAAAGGCGCGTAAAAGTGTTGGAGTTTGATGGTTCTTGGGCACTGGAAGGTGGAGTAGAAGTCTTCTGGCTTGGTGAGTTTCTGGAATTGTTGTGTGTATATCAAGAGATTGTCTGCTGATTGATGTAATGAGTTGCTTGTCTTTGTCCCAGCGAAGGTCTGGTCTGTTTTTAACAAGTTTTCCAGATTTTAGAATTCGCCACTTTTTGTGATCATAGTATTTTTGCATTGTGCGGATACCTTCAAGATGTGCTTGTTCAAGTTCTTCAGGCGTAAAGGGTTTTGAGGTTGTTTGTAGGGTTTTTCCTTTTGGATTTTTGTTTGTAAATTTTGATGTGATTTTGAGGTTCTTTGCTCTTTGTTGAATTCGCTGTAGTCCTGCAATTATGTGTGTGACTTTTGTCCATGTATTTGCATTTTTGAAAAGGCCTAAGACTATTGAGCGTTCTTTGAGGTATTTTTCTTTGTCTGATGTATGCCCCCCAGCTGAAGTGTATGTTTTGGTTGATACAGGTGGTTGTGGCCAGGAGGCTTGGTTTGGGAGCCATGAAGGTCCGTTCCACCAGAGGGTGGCTTCTTTGAGGGTGTGAACAGTGCAACCACGAGAGGCAAGGTCAGCAGGGTTGTCTTCACCAGGTAGATGTTTCCATTGTGATGGTTGAGAATGTTGAAGAATTTTTTGTGTTCGTGTGGTCACATATTTTGTTGGCTTAGTTTCTGAATTTTGGATCCAATTGAGGACGACAGCTGAGTCTGTC